CACACACACACACACACACACACACACACACACACACACCTGCCTCGACACTGCGATACTACTACCTAATGAATCATCTCTCCTCTCACCCCATCAACCCCCACCCCACTTTCCCTCTGTCGAATGTGTTTCCTTCCCATCGCTGCCGCTCTTTGACACTTTCGCCGCTGTCCTTTGCGATGAATCGCGGTTCATAGCTGAAGTCATCTCTGGCCGATACCCATTTCTGTCTATTTTTCTCCCCATTCACATTCAATGAGCTCCTGAAAAGTAGCAGAAGAAACTACGGAAAAAAAAGCCACCTCTTCGTGGTGGATCTTCCCCTGGACATGCGCGTGCATGTGAGAGCTGGTGCCTCAATTCTGTGAGCGAAGAGATGTGAACTGACCAAATCGGTGATTAACATTCAGTCCGCCAGCCAAGATTGCGCTTTGAGTTTCCTAATTCGATTCACTCCGCAGACGTTGTACCTAACATTCTCAATCCCCCCAGGAATAACAAACCCTCTAAGGACATACTTTTATAGAATCCCTGCCGTCATCGACCTTGCTTTCACCATGCACCCATCCCCACTCCCACTCTCTCCCTAGCGGTTCGACCATGGCAGCCACCTCACAATTTCTGTTTCACCATGGCAGTGATGGCACCCACAACCTCACTCCCCACTTGCCCTGCCCACTACCACTGCACAAACACAAAGACGACCTGCACCGCACAACTGCCGTAAATCTACCCTCTGCGTAAATCTACCCTCAGAAGCCTTCTCCAAGACTCTAACGCAATTGGAAAGTTCTGCACCGAGTGTGTGGCACAGGGCAGAAATAACCTTCGAGAGCATTGCCTATCAATCAATGACGAGTCTCAAAAAGCCAAACAACAAAATAGTACCAGATGCATCTCACAAATCGAAAAACAAAACTCCTGTCTCTCTCTTGAGGACACTCCCAGCGACATAGGCAGAGAGGTCGCCAACACTCTTGGTTGCCTTGCTGGCTGCCCTATCTATATGCCCTGCTCACACTCCCTAACATCTATCCGTGCGGTGCTCTCCTTAATCCTATATATGGACCACAGTTACGGCCACATCCAATCACACTGTTCTCTGTCATCACACAGAGAGTTTGCCCAGTGCATCAGCAAGATTATCTGCAACCTTCTCCATAGACGCCTGTTTTCCCGCCTCCTCTTCCTTCTCCTCTTTCCCCTTACTCTCGTCCTCTTCCCCCTCCTCTGGCCCTACCTCCTCCCCTTTCTCCGTCTCCTCTTCTACCTCCTCTTCCTCTTCCTCCTCCTCTTCCTCTTCCTCTTCCTCTTCCTCTTCGTTATCATCCAGCGCACCCAGCACCTTAAGCCCTGCCGCTCCTGATGAGAGGGTCTCCTTTATGATTTCAATACCGGTTTCTGAGATATGGTTGCCATTCAGCTGAAGAAGACGAAGGCTTGTCAAGTTAGCAACTGCCTTCGCAGCTGCGACGGCGCCGATTCTTCCCATGCAGTTGCTTCCCAAATCCACCTCAGATAAGAGCCTTCAGAAAACCAACAACAGAAACAATATATCACATTAGATTCGATTAATCGCAGTTGATTGATTCACAAAGAGTTTCAGATACAAACAGATCAGGGCCAAACATTTCAGACGTACAAAGAGATCGGACACAAAAGCATATCGGCTCACACACACACACATACACACACACACACACACACACACACACACACACACACACACAGAGAGAGAGAGAGAGAGAGAGAGAGAGAGAGAGAGAGNAGAGAGAGAGAGAGAGAGAGAGAGAGAGAGAGAGAGAGAGAGAGAGAGAGAGAGAGAGAGAGGTCTGTGCCTTTCCATGCCTCACTTCATCTGTACCGAGATACTGTCTTACGCACCTTCCACCAGACTGAGGCCAACTTAGGGGCTATGTCAGAGCTACTACCGTGTGAACCAGGGTCACTGCATGATAGGCTAGGTTCTCACTACCGTCTTCCCCCGAACACAACGCACCCTGATTATGGCTGTACCGAACTGGAAATTTAGCTTGTATACATTCATTTTTAGGGTGCGTCATGTTCGGGGGAAGACGGTAGTTTACCACGATCCCAGGAACATAGCAACAGTTGGGCCTGGCCCTAAGAAAGGGGCCCTCCTCAAAATGGTAGGCCTCACTGGACTGTGCCCAGACCTTCACAGAGAAAGCTGACAGCCAAAAACGCTGCAACCTGAGCCTCCTTTTTTTTTTTTTTTTTTTTTTTTTTTTTTTTTTTTTTTGTGAAACAACCATGACGCAAAAGTGACATTTGCGTTTCTAATAGGCAGGAGCCATGAAGAAATCTTGTTTTGTCCTGGCCGTGTACTGGCATGTGCAAAAAAAAAAAAGCAAAAACAGTCCTTTTTTTTTTGTCGTTTTTGAACTCAGGCCCTCTGCACACCACGGCCTGTCCTTGTTGCCGCGGCGTTTTTGAACTGCCGTTTTTCCGCCACGCCTCTTTTATTGCCATTCTTTTCAAACTTGGTGAGTGAGTGACCTCTCAGTACATGTTTTTTTTGCCCATTTGGAACTCCTTTGTGGCTACAGGCATGGTTGGCCTTTTTTTTTGTTTTGTTTTGTTTTTGCACGGTTTCCCAACTTATGCATGTCACCCTTCTACCCCGATGGCGCAAATCTTCTGTGTTCGGTTCCAGTTTAAGGGATGCGCACAAAGATATACAACCTGAGCCTTATGGAGCCTCCAATTCAAAACTCTAGATGAGTCACGTCAGAAAACGGGCATCCATCAGTTATGGGCCTTATGGCCAGGCACAGGAAAACGTTATGAATGAATCTGGTGGCACCCTACCCCCAGGTTCATTCATAACGTTCTGGGTAAGAGGAAGGCCCAAAGGTGGAAAAAAAAAAACACATTCTCCACGTACAAAAAGTTATCAATACTCCTAAACGACCAGCACACGGTCAAGTGGGCCGTGGGCCTGCCACCTGGAGTTCCGGAGGGCCGAAATGCAATGCTGGTCATTGACGAGTTTCGTCAATGGCGCGCGAGCCCCAAAAGTGCCGTCGCTACAGTTTGGTGACGACAAAATGTTTTTTTCCACAAGGCTGGGGCCGTGTACTGGCGGTTTAAGACTCTTTACTACGATGAGAACATTGTTCATCACGAGTTCAATTATTGATAAGCGCACACAAAGAAACAGGCAAATGCATACAATGAAATAAAGTTTCAGTCTATGGCACACACTTGTACATCTTCAGTCTATGGCACACACTTGTACATCTTCAGTCTATGGCACACACTTGTACATCTTCAGTCAATAAAGGTGGATCTTTTCTGATAAAGATTTACAATGGCGAACACATGTCTTTTTCTGACGTCTCAAGCAGATCAACGCAGAATGGAAAAACAAGATAAGTTAGATAACCGATAAACAAGATAAGTTCGATAACCGATCTCGATAAACTTACGTATGCTTTGAAGAAATTCCAGTCACCAACTGCACGACACCGCGGTCCTCGAACTCATTTTCTGACAGAAGCAATCTAGTTAGCTTTGGTTTCGATGCAATGCATTCCGCAATGGCTGGGGCCGACGCTTTCGTTATTTCATTGCTTGCTAAGTCAAGAACCTACACAAAAGCAGAGCACAGCAAAGGCAAACAATAAGTCAAAACTGACAAAAAGTGACAAAAACATTTTATTTTATTTTTTACGCTGCAGAGTCAACATTACATAACATCTACACAAGGAAAAGAGACTACGGGCATACCCGGATTCGCACCTTCTTGAATGCATCTAGCCCCATTGAAAGCCAGAGGGAGTCAACAAGTCTTATGTGTGGGAATGCTCATATTATGCTCTGACTTTTTTCATGATTAACACAAGAGACCTCTTGATAAAATCTGGCTTTAATTATGGCTAGATACATTCAAGAAGGTGTCAAGAGGTCTCCTTTCGTCCTTTTTCAGTCTGTAGTAAAAAACTACGTTATCGGATCTTCACCCAAATAGAACACCTCGGTGATTGGGCCAGCGGCCCAGCTCAGTTGGTAGAGCAGACAAGTGGCATGCAGGAGGTTGGGGGTTCGATTCCCCGCATCGTCAGTTCGGTTCCCCATGGCCCCCTGTGGACACTTTTAGGGTTCACGAACTGAGATAGTTGGCTTGCCCGCCCTGTCTGGTCTTGGCATGATTCTGGAGTCTTGCTACCCTAACTCGCTAGGGGTTAGAACTTAGAAGCCTACCGTCTTCACCCGAATAGAAAGCCCGGTTATTATAGCCGCATTTGGTGCACTTTTCGGTCCAGATACAGCTATAATAACCGGGCGTTCTATTCGGGTGAAGACGGTAGGTACTACTCCCTGCACAGACTAGAGGAGATAGACATCCTACGTTTCCCTTTTAGTACATAGCTGTTCCCCTCCGGCGCATGAATGTGGGGTCTGTCATACTAGATATGTGGGCAGATAGCGCGAGATATGTGAGGTAGAAAAAATATCGAGAGAAGAAAACAGCGTAGTGAATACAGCTGTCCCCCCAATCAGGAGAAGACAACATTTTTTTCCCCTTCAAAAAAGAAAGAACACCTGGTCATTATAGCTGTATTTAGACTGGCAGTTCCCCCCAATATGACTATCTGTTTGGGTGAAGCTGTAGGGGTTAACCCCAGGCAGGAGGCAGAAACCACAACGCCGGAGGCTATAGTTGGCATCACCGGAGTCCGCTGGTCACGGTTCCGCATGCCACCATACATTACAAACAAGCAAACAAGAGCAATCAATGTTGTCATATGTCAGGAGGCTACAGCAGCAGCTTGTGAAATAACAAGCACACACCTGCACCACCACCACTACTCACCCCTCTACATGCTGCCAAGCACACAAACAACCGTCGACACTGTTTAGAAGAATCTTGAGACTGGGAGGGATAACAGTGCACCTGCTATTTCCGATGCAACCTGCTGTGTGATGGAGAAAGCTGTGAAAAAACTAAGTATCAACTACTGCACCCACTGTGCTGAGTTAACATGGACAAGGGGCAGTAACAGCTTGGTTACATACCCGATTAAACCTCAATCCACAGTGAATTCCCCAGCACAGCGCTGCCCAGCCAGGGCTCTCGTGCGCTTCCGCAGCACTTCCACAGTTCTCACGAACGAGCAATCTGTCCGAAATGTCGCTGTTACAGTTTTGACTTGGACTGAGCCTGGACTCGTCCCCGCCTGCTTTACAACGGTGAGGAGTCTGAGGACCGATGAGGTGGTCTAGGGTGTGACAGTGAAAGCTCTACAGCCACTACTACTACAACTACTACTACCCAAACATCCAATTCAACTACCACTACCCAAATCGCCACTACAACCGCTACTACCCAAATCTAAATCGCCAACCGGCGTGCTCTGTTGCCAAAGACAAGCAGGAGTGTCGATTGGCGACAATTGTGAACGTGTGTTCATCCTCTTGCCGCAGAGTACAAGAGAATAATGGTTTCAAGATTGGCTCTCAGACCTGGCCTCCTTGTCGTGTGCTGAATATGAGACTACGTTGCCGATCATGCGCGTGCCATATATGAGACTTACGTAACAGAACAGGAAGAACCATGCACATTCATCCACCCACTGCACAAGCAGCTGCTTGACAACAGTGACCAGGGACATCCGTCCACTGCACAAGCAACGAACTCCGTTTCCACACTGCTGTCGCCTCATCATTCAGCCAATCCGACAAGGATAAACGAATGGATAGACGACGATTACGGCGAACAGAACGGTTCTGATCATCGTCGTCATCATCCTGAACAGGTTGTTTATGGCAGTGATGATGACCCCCGGATTGCTAATGAGCGTATGTCAGTGCCTCCACAATACAGGTGATCCCCAGCGGCACGCATGAGAATGCTTCAAAACAATGACAATCATGTACTCTGCCTGTCCCCTGCGCAAGCAGCAAGCTCTCTTCACACATTGCCGAATCCACAGCCACCGTGGATTCGTGGAACACAGTCATTGGATTCCGTCGATCATCAGGTTCCATCGAATTTTCGTCCAATGCCCACTCCAGTCAAGTTAGTGAGCATTCAATTCCATCGGATTTCATCCAATGCCCACTCTGCTCAAGTTAAAAGCGTGCATCAATCGAACAAACAAAATACAGCACACAACACAGGGGACATGATGTTTGATACTCTCCGCAGGTTTAAGACTCTGATAGGTCTACAGAACCTGCTGCTTTTTTTTAACTTTTGTTTTGAACAAACAACAACAACAACAACAACAACAACAACAACATACACCACCACACTTCGCCGTCGGAAGATCCTCAGAACAAACACTAGACATCACTACTCTCACTCAGAAAACAGGGCGCGCTGGATCTCTGAGTGGTCCATGCGTGTTAATGTTGATGAACAAGCCGAAATTGCGAATCTCTTGCCTACTTCAACCACCACCAGTCAGCTGGACCCTAAATCGACAACGCAAAAGTCGCCTTTTCCCGAGCGTGCCTGCCACAGTAACGGGCAGAAAATAAAAATATTGGACTACTGGTACTGGCCCGTCTTTCGGACCTGAGGTTCAAAAGACAGGTTGCGAATGGATCACTATTACAATATTGCTTTTGTGTGCTTTTTTTCTTTCCCCTTTTCTGTTTTCCACAGTTTCACATGGGCGCCCCAGATCGAAAGATCACTTGTATACATTGACTATCAGTGTGCGTTGTGTTTCCGGGAAGATACAGGTGGTAGTGTCGCTCACCGTCTCTCTCTCTCTCTCTCTCTCTCTCTCTCTCTCTCTCTCTCTCTCTCTCTCTCTCTCTCTCTCTCT